ATGAAACCTTTTTTTAAAATTGGTAGATATGAAGTCTTTGATGACTTGGAGTTCCTTAGGTGACATGGGTCGTAGTTTGCCGACTGGGAAGGTTGCTCCTGGTTGTATGTGAATCTCCATGTCACATGAGCGATGCGGCGGTAATTTGTCAGCCTCTTGCGGGTCAAAAACAACCCAATGGCTTGATATTGTGGGGGAAGTGCAGTGGTAGAGGGAGGGGAGGAGGTGGGTGGTGTTTGGGATGTAAGGCTATTACAGTACTGTGAGCAAAAGTTAGAGTTGAAGTGTACTTGTCCTGAGTTCCAAGATATTTGAGGTCTGTGTTTGATTAGCCAGTCCATGCCCAGTACTACAGGGTATTGTAGGTCCTTCACTAGTGGGAAAGCTGTTTGTTCGCAGTGTTTCCCAATTTGCAGTGTGAGTGGATACGATTGGAGAGAGGAGAGGCCTCCCTGCAGGGGACGTTTTTGGATGGAGTCCACCTGGAGTGGGGTTGCTAGTGTTGAAGTAGGGAAACAGTGCTTTTGAGCAAATTCCTCATCCATGAAGGAAGCAGTGGCGCCACTATCAATTAGAGCTGTGGCTCGAATTGCAGGCTGTGGGTGAGCTTGCAATGAGATATCCAGCAGGAGGTGTCGAGCTGTGGAAGCCTTTCCCAGGGCTTGGCACCCTTGTGACGTGTGGGAGGGTCCCAGTGTCGCAGTGCTTAACGACGCTGGGACTGGTAGTTTCCCGCCTGCATTTTCAACGGGCAGGACCGTGCCAATGGCCGTTATGTCCACAGATAAAGCATTGTCCGGCAGTGCGGCGGTAGGCCCTATCTCCCCTAGGCCCGAGGCTCGACTGCTCCCAGCTGCATAGGCTTCGGTTCCTGCTCTGGCTGGGGTGTTGCCATGGCAACGTAGCTCCCGGGTGGGAATTGCTGGGGGCTGGCTTTTACACACGGGAACCATCTTGTTTTAGTTGGCTGCGAGCCAGCATGGCATTCTTGCTTAGCGCAGGCCCTTTCACTGAGCCGTGCATCTATCTGGATCGTTAAAGTCATTAACTCCTGCAAGTTTTTTGGCATTGAAATACGTGACATATCATCCAAAATCTCCTCTCTCAAGCCCTTGCGGTATTGAACCATCAAGGCTTCTTCATTCCACCCTAAATCATTCATGAGGAGCTGGAACTTGGTGGTGTAGTCAGTGGCTGAGGCATGCCCGTTTCCGTATGGCTATTTCCTTGCAAGCTTCAACACCAAGGAACTCCCCCAAGGCATTAAGAAATAGATTAGCGTCGTTTAGTATAAGGTCTTGAGCGATAAGCCTCGCAGTTGCCCAGCGGGCAGGGGCCCCCGTAAGTTGATTTATTAGAAATCCTACCTTCATCTTTTCGTTGGAGAAGTCAGGAAAGCATAGATTGATGTAGAGTTCACATTGCGCTTTGAAAGTTGTAAATCCTTCTTTCTTGCCATCGTATTTCGGGGGGGCTTCAACGGGGCATCTGCGTAGTGTTAATTCTTGATTCTGCTTTGAAGTAGTAGCTGTTTGCAGTTTTGCTTGGAGGTTATCTAAGTCAATTTGCATCAAATTGATCTGCTTTGTTGCTTCATTGTATCTTGTTCTCAAGAGGGAATTTTCTTCTCTTAAAGCTTGAAGGTCTTGAATGGTGGGGGCAGGCAACTGCATTGTTGTTGTTTATGAAAGGTAGAAAGTTAGAACGAAATTTCTTCTGGATGGTAGTGTTGAATAAAAAAAAATCTTTGCTCTGCTGTGAGAGAGGATTTACGATGATAGGGCTGACATACTGTTGTGATGCTGATTGTATAAACATTCAACTCTCCACAGAGCAATAAAACTTAAGTCCTTTAATGTTAATTGTCTACAAGATTTACAATTCTATAGATAAGTTCCCTAACAGCGGTCCCAGCTAAGCAGATGTCAGCCCTATAATGGCCTCTCTTTCTGAGCCCACGTGGGATCATTCTCCCAAGTCACGCCTCTCTTCTCTCTTACGCTGTCTACTTTGTAATTGTTCAAATCTATGTAAAAGACGTCTGTTCTCGGCTTTTGAGAAACCTATGACACCTATAGTGTCTTCTGTTTCTGGCTCAGGGAGATCAGCGTCAGGAGAGGAGGAGACAGTTTGCTCTGCCTCTTTCTCATGTCTCTCTGTCTCTGATAAAGGTCCAGGCGTTTGCTCAACGAGCTGGGGCTTAGGGGAAGATGCAGTAGCTGGTTCAGCCGTCCCTGCATTGGGTTGTGGGGGCGATTCTTGGGCACAGGGTGCCAAGTGCAAGGTCTCCTCGTGAGTCACTGTTTCTGTCGGAGCTTCATGCACGACAATGGGCCTTGAGAGGACTCCACAATAGAATTAGGGCACAGGTGTTAAAATAAGAATTTGGCATTCCGTTCTTGTACCCGGTACATATCTTCCAGCCCTGCAGGAGGGGGAACCACAGATGCCGGTGATTTTACACTCCTGGTAGACCATGTCAAGCAGGGTTGTTTGGAGCAGGATGGTGACCAGACCAGTGGTTTCTCATATACCACCTTGAAAACAGGGTCCTTTGCTCTGCAAGGATCCTGGCAAGGATTGAGTCCCAAGCTATGGGTCATTTGAAGGATTTGGTTATAAAATTGTTGGAGGTCTTCCAAAATGTGGGGAAGATCACAGAGGGGTCAAGACAGGCCTGGCAGGACGTCAGAACACCTGTCCAGGGAACAGGGCTCTAAGCTGGAGGTACACGGTTCAGAACCGGATTCCATGGGTTCAAGCAAAAGTCACACACTGATGTTTGGCCAACTTGGCTCTTGATGGTCAGATGCAGGATGGTGGAGAACACAAAGTTGCTAATTCCCTAGCATCCCTTGATGGACCCGGGATCAGCAGCAGCACTAGAGGATCTGTGTGGGTGAAGAACCGATCAAATCCAACAGGGCTCCAATGTGGCCACTCATGTCTGGAAACTAAAGATTTTCAGCATCCTCTGTAGAAGTCAGTCCCATACTCATATCTGTAGGGAGGTGTTAGTTACCAAAGTCTACAGGCCCAATCACCAGTGGGGGAGTGAGACCAGTATTGACATCTACTATACTCTGCAGACTGATGTATACTCGAGATTGGTGATGGCAGGGAGTTGCACCTAGGTCCAGAGGTGGGTTCAGTTTGCTGGCATATCAGAGGCAACAGCTCACAGATCTTGGCTTCTGAGAATGAAGTACTCACAGCCAGTGGCAGTGGTTGGGTCAGAAGCTCCTGCATTGTCTCTGCAGTCCAGGCTCTGGCACTGTGTCTTTGGTACATGGAAGGTCAATAAGGAATAGCATGTCACAGTGTTTTATGGCTTGCTTGCCACCATCTTGCCCTTTCGCCAGAGTGGGCGTTTTTGAAGGTTTATTTTTCTTAGCCAACTTCTTGACCTTCCCTGTCTCAGTAAAGTGCCATTTCTCCAGGGCAGTAGTTGGAAGTTCTGCCAAGGATATGGAGGCTGCTACTCCCAAGGTGGTTGGGTGAGGACAACTGCCCATATGGATGGTTCTACTCCAGAGTTCCACTTCGAAGCAGTCAGCATATTTTCTGGTCTGTTTAGCAAACACCTGGCAGTGGTAACAGGAGTCAACAACATGAGCCTTTCCCAGGCAAAACAGTTACAGTGAATGACAATTTGTAGGTGGTAGTTTGCTGCCACGTTTCGTGCAGCTGCAAAACAGAGCCTTGAGCACTATCGTCTCAAACAGGAGGCAGGAAGGTGAGGTCAGCGGAGCTGGGTAAAGTGGGGAAAAATGGGGAGAAGTAATATTCTTTTGTTTGTTTGTTTTGTAGAAGTAGGAAAAAGAAAAGATAGAAGTACAAGAGCAAGGTAAAAGTAAGCAGAGGAAGACCCTCCTGATGTGCTCACAATGGTGGTCTTATAATCTGAATTGAGGTCTCGGCAGGAGCCCCTCCCCACATGTTGGGCATGCCAGGGGATGAGCTCCCACTGAGTATTAATTAATCGCTTTAGCATCTTCCCAAATGAGTTCCACACATGCACGCAGAACTCATATATGTGATGCACAGAGATCACGAAGGAGAACTCAAAGTTTTCCAACCACTCACTTTAAAATACTCTCTGTTGCACCAGAAACAAAATCAATATCATCATCAGCAGCAGCAGCAACAGCAACATACAAACATAAATAATATGTAATCAGCATCTGTTCCTTTCACAATGGGCACAGGCAAGACAGGGAAACATAAGCAAGGATAGACCAGTTTGGCCAACATATGACAGCCACATCCTGAATATTACAACATTCCTTTAATGTGCTTTTGTTTTCTTGGTAAGTTTTTTAACCATCTATCTCCCCTTCAAAATGGCATAATCTGAGTAAAATAATGCACTGTACAGGTAGCTAGTGTAATTCCCAGATATTTCCATATAGATGTTACACTCAACTACTGTTTAAATTAAGTTTTACAGCAATCCATACAGCTCCAAGTGAGTAATCAGGGTGCAAATATTCAGTGGACTAGAAATTCCTACCATGTCTGAAGACAAATGCAGTTATTTCAAGCTATTTTTCACTGCATTTTTATGAATTTTCAAAGAAGAACTCTGATTTTTCCTATCACAACGTTTACAGTAAAGCTTAATATAAGACCCTATTCTTTCCTTATGCCTAAGTCAATGAGCTTTCAGTCAAGTTTTTCTGGAATACATAATCTAGGCTACTTTAAAAAAAACCTTTTTCTTATTTTACAAAAAAAAAGCCTGAAAACACTAGACAGTGTTTCTTAGGATAAGTGGTTAAATATGACCAACTATTTTCTGTAAATCTAAAGATAATGCATTCTACTCTGCCATTAAAAGAACAGAGTGTTTGCAGTGGAAATGGATCACATGTTCAATGCCAGCATGGAACAGATATTTATTTACTGTTTGACAAAAACTGCTTCTTCACAGCAAAGTAGATTACTGGGAGTAGCTTAGTGTACAGCAGATTTAGAAGAATATAAAACTAGAATCTTACCATTTGTTAGTCTGTCAAAAAGGAAGATATCAAAATTCCAGTTTCCAACTTTTTCTAGCATACACTGAAATCAAAATAGAAAAAAAGTTTACTTGCCAGTTAAAAGCACTTATGTGTACACTACATAGCTGAACCGTGATTAATTTATTTTGGCTGCATTCTAATTAGAAAGGATACCAGCAAGGATGTAAAAGACGACCCAGCAACATGCCTGTGATGTCACTTCTTTCTGTTTCACAGGCCCCAGTAATTATTCTTGCCTAATGGGTCATATAGCTTGCAAACTGGCTTCTTATCCCTACAGTGTTCTTTATAGACAATGATGCTGGTGGTTGTTGTTCTTGTTTCCACTCACAGGATATTAAGAGATCTTTCCAAAACATACCCTTATTGCTTCCCCATAGCATTCTTCAACTTCTGTACCAAATATCATACTTCCCATGCAAGTGCACAAGTAAGCTGCTACACACATATTAGGTTTATGCCAAAAGGTGTGTACAAGCCTGCTACACAGAGTAAAAAAATTATAGCACTGACTTACACACTCTTATGGAAACTACATCAAAAATTGGTGAACAACCCATTATATATCTTTCTTCACAAATTAAACACAGTCGCATACTGTGTTTGCTGCCTTCCTGTCCACAGCTCATTATCTAGGGAAGGAGACGAGATGAGGCTAGGGGCTTCTGACCCTGTTTTAAGGTGTTTTCTAAAGATGTCTTATGAATGTCTCCTTTTCTGGTCCTCCTCACAGCCTGATGATTCCTGGCAACTGTGCCTTGTGATACTGCTACTTAATGCCAGGTCATCAAGTAATAAGACCTTCCTGATCCATGATTAAATCATAGATGAGGGGGCTGACTTGGCTTGCATTACTGAGATAACAATAGTGAGGTTACTCTTTCCCAGTTCTGTCTACCTGGATACTCAGCACAGCACCAGCACTTGCCTTGTGCTCTGGGGAAAGGGGGTGACCACAGTCCATAGGAACTCTATCTCCCTCTTGGGGCTACCTGTTCATTCAAGTTGAGGCACCGAGTATCTATACCTTGCACTGGACAATTGAGACAGATTAGAGATCTTGCTGGTGTATCACTCACCCCATCACCCAGCCACCTTCCTGTCTGAGCGGAAGCAGTGGTCTCTGACTTGGTGTTGAGAATCCCAAGGATGCACTGGGCTCTATGTGGAGCTGCCTTTGAAAAGGGCCCGTATGGCTATTGATAAGGACTGGGTTTTGTGAACATATCATGCCAGTCCTTCGCAAGCTGCATTGGCTGCCAGTTGCTGTTCAGGCACAATCCAAAGTGCTGACTTTAACATCAAAACCTTAAATGGCTTGGGGCCAAATTATCTGAGGGAATGCCTATTTCTGTATGCTCCCACCCAATCACTAAGATCTTCATTGGAGGACTTTGTGTGTGTTCCTCCCTGCAAAGAAGTGTGGAGAAGATGTCTAGATGATCATTAGACTGAATGTTACAACTTATCTGGTCTTAAGTCAATCAGGAAAATGTAACAGATTTTTAGAAAGCATTCAGATCAGTCATTCATGAATTTTGATGGTACAATTCTGGTATCAACTTATTTTTCTTAACCAGCATAGATTCACTTGACCCTTACAGTGAAGAAACCTTTGAACAAACTACTCAAACTATTTCTCACACAGCCAACTGTAGTACTTTCTTTTGACTTACTCTTTATTTGTTTTGACTTACAGTAGATAAGTTGTATCTTTAGTCTATACAATAATACCATTTAGTGCAAGTCAGTTAGTTGCAGACTTTAACATATATTAATATTTCAGGACCAAATTATGCAGTAGTTAAAAAACAAACCTTAGCTTGTCCATTGTAATCATCATCTAAAATGTTTGAAGAATTTGGAAGAGTAATACCACGGAAGAAACGAGATGATCTCAAGTACCGCTGGAAACTCAGTAACCTTCGGATATTTCTTGCAGACACAGAAACTTCAATTTCAGAATTTGCTGGAGGAGAGAATAAAGAATCTTGAGATGGATAATGCTTCTACAAAACATGAGAAGATTAATCTATAAGAAAATTTAGAGCAGGAGTGGGGAACCTGTTGCCCTTCAGATGTTTCATTACTACACTTCACATCATCCCTGACCCTTTGCCATGCTGGCTGCTCAGATGGAAGTTGGAGTCCAACAATACCTGAATGGGCACAAGTTCTTCACTTCCTAGTTCCATTAGTGGGTGCCAGGAACATGCTTTCCATGAAAAGAACAGGACCCAAGAAAGCTTAGTACCCAACCCTTACATTCCAAACATGTTACAGCAATTAGAAATGATATTAGATTGTAATTTTTGAATCACTGTATGCTGGAATTGCCAAACAACTGAAATTATGTTGTTTTCATGGACTTAAAAACCCTAGTCATTCAATAAAATCAGTTTCCAAACTCTGAAGTAGCAAACCTCTACTATGTTCTATAAACTCTGGGACCTATGGCATTCGTTACACTGCCAAGAGTTAAATGAATGTGAATAAGAAGAGTTTAAACACCATTCAGAACCCTGATTACACCCAAATTCTAAAATGAAGTTTACCAAACACTAACAATAGGCAAAGAATTTTGGTGGCAGATGGTAGGAAGGAATAAAACAATCCTAAAGCCCACTTCCACTTTAGGGCTGGGCTGAGCAACATTAACCCCTTTCAGTAAAGGCTCAGAATTTTTTTTCTTAAGTGGAAACATTTTTTTGAAGCCTTTTATTTTTTTCTGAAAAATTGAACAATAGATTATAAAATATTTTCTTTCAAAAGAGTGAGTAAAATGTTTTCTAAAAAACATCTATGAATCTATGTTTCGGTATGATTCTGGACAGTATCCGATTATTACAATTCTTACGCACCAAGGACAAGCAAGTCCTTGCTGTAAACTGAGGCTACAATTCTTATATGCAAAAGTGACATGTATTTCTGCCTCCAGGAAGCACTGCCATTGTAAAAAGAAAAAGAAGATGGTTTCAGTTTCTTTAATCGTGGGCTTCCTCTTCTTGGTATAGTTGGGTAAACCTATTTCTGTCTTCTTGGCTAGGTCAAGACTGGAAGAAGTGTAGGGCAACAAAAAGGAGCCAAAAATATCCTTACCTGCAAGGTAACAGCTCACATTTATCTGGATTCAGAAAAATGAGCCATATTTAGTCTATCTTCATAAAACTTTTGTCAATGTGATGCTTTTTTGTTACCCCCTCACCACCACAATGACCACCACCACTTAGTTCTTACTGGTAAGCTAGCCACTTTTTTCCCCCTTTCCCTCCTCTCTGGAAAATGGTGAGACCAATAACTAGCATATGAAGGCATTTCCACTCTGCAAGTCCTTTTGACAAAAATAAATCAATTTGCAAAAATGTAAGGAGTACAAATAATGTCAAGAGCAATATATTCATCTGAAACCCCATTGTCAATAACTTTAAAAACATGCTGTTAAGAATTAAATTACTAAGACTACCATACCATTTGCCCCACCAGGCAACCTTTTAACAAGACTGTTTTGGGGTAAGAAAAAGAATGCAGAATATGAAAACTGTGCAAGGCAAAATCAGTAATGCACTGTGTCTTGCACTACTTACAGTTGTGTGGACAAACGGGAGAGAAGGAATCAAACTCCGAAATAATATTTCAACCTTTTTTACAAAAACATTGAAAGATCCCACCCACTGCAGAGTGCGTACATAAGGAGTGTATCCATATGATGTCCTAATGAAAACTGGAAGTGGTGAAGAATTTGCTTTGCTGACTGACACTGCAAATAATGGGAAAGTGGCATGGGAGATCATCATGGATACAGATCCACATATGACTGAAATAGAATGGACTAAACTTGGCTTTTACTTCTCCTCCATGAAACATATATAAATAGGCAGGGTAGAAGCAACCATCCAATGTAAAGAAGAGGAACTTTTTAAAGTTTTAAAGCCAAGTACCCAGATCACATAGACAAAGTTCCAGGTGGCGCAGTGGTTTAAACCGCTGTGCTGCTGGGCTGGTTGATCAAAAGGTCGCCAGTTCAAATCTGCACAATGGGGTGAGTTCCCGTTGCTCCGTCCCAGCTCCTGCCAACCTTGCAGTTCGAAAGCATGCAATTGCAAGTAGATAAAAGGGTACCACTTCGGTGAGCAGGCAGCATTCCGTGCACTTTGGTGTTTAGTCATGCCGGCCACATGACCACGGAGACTGTCTGCAGACAAACGCTGGCTCCCTTGGCTAAGAAACGAAAACGAGCACCACCCGCTAGAGTCAGGCATGACTGGACTTAATGTCAAGGGGAAACCTTTACCTTTACCCAGATCACATAGACAAAGCTCCAACAGTAAAATGGGGTGCAATCTTCCAGAGTTAAGAATATTTATCCCACAGGTATTTTACTTTTTGCTGGAATTCAAAACCTAGCTGCTGATTTCTATTAAATTCAACCCAACATGTTCAGTTCCCATTTCTTGCTGGACTTTCCCCATCAAAATCTATCAAGCCTTGTAAAGAAAAAGAAGTCTCACTTCACTGGATACAATTAATACATGTTATACTAAATAATTAGTTATACAAGCCACACTGCACTAGATCCCTCTGTAAACAGAGTTCCATTCAGAGAAAGGTTGCTCCTGACACTGGCTAACAAAAAAAGGGAGGCAATTTGTGCCAATTCCACCTAGCTGCTACAACTCCCACAATCTGTTCCAGAGCATTAGGGAATCCTCCAGAATGCTGTGTTAAATTCCAATCCTGTGCAATTTAGACAGGAAAGAGACTTACAACTTGCAGCATGCCACAGCCAGTATAATGTGAACTGTAGGCCCTTTTCTCTGTTTAAACTTGCAACTTACAACAGGAATAAAGTGACTCTGAGAGGTTTTACGACCAGGAAAAGTTTAGGAAAAAAAGTCCCTTCGCCTTTCTGTGAACATGCATCTTTGTTGGATCAAAGTCTTCCTGTTTGTGTAGACCTTCAGTGAATCACAGAGCAGTCCTGGATCCAACCCAATGAGAGAGACAGAAACTACAGATTTTTTTTAAAAAAGCCACTGATTTAGCTTTTAGAAACTGCCATTTTACAAATGGAGACTATAATATAGCATGACAAGTGAAACCCAAACATAAAAGGGAAGAATCCTTGTAATCAGGACAAGTTAGTTATAGTACCAGTTCTCAACTGAATATCACTTTCATAACTATGCTCTCACTATTTTCTCCATTGGTGCAATCATGGTATTACCTAAAGAATTCAGAGGTCTGCAATATTTTCCTTGGCTGATGCTAGTAAACTAGTTTCAAGCCTTTTCAAGATCCTGATCAAGCAATTGAAAAAGCACAGAAAAGTTACAATTCTTGATTTCTGCCTTAAGTTCCTCTAAAAAGAAATCTAAATTAGAAGTCTCAAGCACTCATTTTAGTCCCATTTTAAGTATTTACATATAATACAAATGTGTGTGGTTGTACACTAGGGCTCTGATTTGCATTAACAGGTTCTCAGGCAAGTTTTCAAACCCAAGTTATGATAGTCTCAGCTGAGGTTTTTTAAAATCACATATTAATCTATGCTGCTGAGATTCTTAATATCCAAGCTGTCATGGTTTTCAAAGACTAAATGAATCATGCGAGAGTGGGAGTGGAGTAGGTGTATGAATACATTCACATGTATTCAAGTGTTGTAATGGATTGACGTAGAGGCGGCTGAAGAAATGGGAGGAACCAGAATGTGTTCTAACCAGATAATGATGGGGAGATATTCCCATCATGTTCCAGACTATATTAATCTTTGAAATCCTTAAAATTCAGGTGAACCCTAAAAATGGTATAAACATTACTATTAAGTGCCTCATGGCACACAAGCCACAGCATTCCCATGGTCTTCATTTACCCATATCCAACTGTCCCCAAAAGGCACTGAAAGCATACCATCTGTCATTTAGGCTCTGGGCTGAAAGCTTACTAAGGAAGTGACAACCTGAACATAATTTTAGTTCACCTCTTTCTGCTCTTGACAAGACTAACTAGCAGCTGCAGGACTGTATCCCATGTTCTACTTTAATACACAGAACTTACGCTAGGAATCACTCTCATGATGCAAACTATAACCAAGAGTATCTGTAACTGTTCATAGTAAAATGCATAGCAATTTATCAATCCTTGTAAGAGCAGTGAGAGGTAAAATTCTTCCTACATTTTAACTTGTGTTATACAAAGGTTTTCCAGGAATATTCTAGAAAGCACTGATCAATTTATCTGTTCCAGTTTAACTATGAAACAGAGATTTTATAAGATTTAAAAATAGTGACATAAAACCAATTTTAAGTGACAGAAGGAGCAAGGCTAAGTCCCAAGCATTGAATGAAGGGCCACAGAATATTCTGATTGAAAAAAGGGGGAGTCAGAAATCTGCCCCCTCACAGCAAGTGCAGAATAAACCACACCAGCTGCCTTCCATGGTCAGAACAGTGACTTTAGAGAGAGGGAAAACCGGAAAGGGTAGGAAGCTGAGAGAAACAAAGAGGCCAGAATACGAACTAGCCTGAGGTCTCCACAGCTCCCTTCTTTCCCCTCTAGTACCACTGCTAAACAAGCAAAAGAACCAATCCAGCTAAAACTGCACAGTGGGATGAAGGCAAAGTGAAGATCACCTCAGTTGCTCCTTCTGCCCTGCACTGCATGAGATGGAGCATCCAGGTTTGAGAGCTTCTGATCATTGATTATTCACCTGACCGAACTGCATCCTAATATTAAGATTTATGGTTGTCATTTCACACAAGATTATAGCTCAGTGCTACAAATGTTCAAAGCACATGCTCTGCATATAGAAAGGTCCAGGTTCAATTTTTTTCCCGATTTGTATCCTGCCTTTTTCCTACAAAGGGCTCAAGGTAGCTTACATCTCCTCCTCCATCTTATCCCCACAACAACAACCCTATGGGGTAGGTTGGGCTGACAGTCTGTGACTGTCCCAAAGTCACCCAGTTGGCTCCATGGCTGAGCGGGGACTAGAACCCAGATCGTCTGAGTCCCAGTCCCATGGTCTTAACCACTACACCACACTGGCTCTCAGCATCTCCTAGCATCTCCCAGGAAAGACAACTGAATGAAATTCCAGGTAAACACTGCCAGACAGATCTAGATATTTTACTCAATATAAGACAGTTTATTCTGATCTTAGGTAATGAAATCTGCACCATCATTTACTCCAGTAGGGTAAGTAACTGGCAATGCAGGGCTTTCCAAATGATCTACAATTCTACATCAAACCTCCAGATCTCACTCCCATGCTCTCTTGTGCTTTTTAACCTGCTTATCTTTACTGTGAATACATGTTGTCTACTCAAACACATGCAAATGGCTTTTTAACTCCCACCCACCCTGCACACAAAGTGAATAGCAAAGCCAATCTTGCCATTCCCTTTACCCACCTTAGCTGATCACTTCAGTTTGCCCTTTATCTTGCACAGAGAAATGAACAGCATGGCAGTATAAGAGAACCCCAAGAAATCCTCCTCTGTTCTTCAAGTTAGGAGAAATTAGATACCCTTTTGCCTGTACTTCAACCTTGCTCAGTTCAAAACATTGCTTCCATTTTAAAATTAGTACTCCAGAAGGGCACTATTGCTCAGAAATGGACAGTGTACCTATGCCTTTTAAATGAATATTCAATACCCCATAAAAGTCAATGTTTCATTATTATTCATTTAAGGGCAGTTATTGGCATCCCATGTAGATTATTTTATGTTAATTTAATTAACTAGGTATAATTTGAACAACTTGATTCAATTGTTAAAGAGAGATTAATCAGAACATGGATCACATTTTATCTTTTGGAGAAAGATTAATTTTGTAGTTTAAAAACAAGTTCTTAGCATTCAACTTGATTATTATAATAAACTACCTAAAAGGGAGTTTCTAGTCTTGACTGCTTCTACAAACACCATATATGATGAAAAGTGAAGTTATACAGATTGAAAGAGCACCTAAGTTCCATTACTTTCAGCTAACATATAAACACCTAATGCATTCCTTTCTAGGATTTCAGACAGGCCCTTTTTAATTGTGGGAAGGCAACCTTGAGTTGCAAGGGGTCAAATAGCTTTTGCTACAGACTTTCAAGAGTTATCTAGCTGGTCACTGCTGGAAACAGGTTTGGTCTGTTTCAGCATGTAGCAATTAGATATAAATGTAAGAAGACTCTTCAAAGAGAAGCAACATATGATTTGAAAATTTTCTTTTGGATTGTAGGAAGGTGAAAGACTGAGGCTCAGTTCTGATGGGACATGCTAAAATTATAGTTTGAAGATTAACAGCATGCTGCAGATTTATGTACTTCTTTCTTTCCCCTCCCACCCATGTTTGCAATAATCATAGGTTACCATTACCTCTGTGTTAGGACTAAACAAACCAGGATTGAACGAAATCAGATTACAAACCTATTTCAATCGGTAGTTCCCAAATAGTCCCGATTAGGTCTAACCATAACTAGACCTAATACAAAATACAATACAAAATACAGAAGATTCATCAAAGGACAGTATTCTATAGGCTTTCTCCTCTATCTCTGCAGCCCTAACCTCATCTGAAAATCTGCTCCTGTAGGTTCACAGTAAGTATAAAGGTGCAGCGGAAGGCTACAGGAATGTGTCCTCCACATGGTTCCACTGACAAATATAATTACATCTGTGAAACAACTTAACTGGATTTCACCTACACATAATACTGTAACTAAAGGACTCTTCCTATAGACAGTATAGCAAACTACAGAAGGGATAGACAATAGAAGCAAAATTATAGAAAGGAAGGGGTAATTCCACAGAAGAGGAGAGAACATAAACCATGAAAATTTTAGCTATTTCCTCACATAAGTAGTCTGTTTGTGACACGTCACAATTAAGCCAGAAAATTTCAGACAAGAATTTACCATTAGAACCAGCTTCACAAAAATCCACTCCTGCTTTTCACACAACTGTTCTTTGTCAGCAAGCTAATGAGATAGGAGTGAGTGAAGAGAGGGTTTATTATTATTGGACAATGAGAAGTTATAAACCCTTTACAATCTACAGTGAATCATCCCAAGAACCACTAGTAATCCTGATCTACCTTCCTGCCCATACTTGTTCTAACATGTCCTAATATTATAGAGTAAAGGCTCCAGGGAGAACACCACATTTAGGTTCAGTCCCAACTTTTGAAATTTAATTGCATCAGGCTTCATATTGAGAAAATAACTGTTTAAAGAAACCTCCAAACAAGCGAAAGCAAGAGAATAGCTAAGAACTGACGGCTGCACCATTCAGAAGCTTTACAGTTGGAATATTTAATTATACCACCAAACTTCCTAGAATTACCACAGCATAAAAATGCATCATAGTGAATCATACTGAGGTCAAACACAGTAAGAAAGCCTGTGAGATTAGTTACATATGGAATTTCAGTGAATATACCAGAAGGACCTTATCAGTGCACAAATATTGTTGGTGTAGAAGTTACACACGTGTGAAGACTATAAAATAGTTAAATGGGCCAGCCTCTTATCAAGCAAAGGATATAGCATGCTAGAGAATCTGGACCTCTTATTCATTCATTAAAATCTGATGTTCTGGCTTTCAGCTTAGTGTCACACGAATTTAGAAAGTTACACTATCCTGCAAAATGTGTACATTCATAATTTCTCAAGCAGAAATTATCTTACTTGCAGGAAGAGAAAATTGTTAATTGCCATTTTACAGCAGCCATCAATTACTTGAAGCTCAGCAGCCAAACACAAATGGAATCCTTCATTACTGTTCTGCTATTATTTAAATACTTACAGTGAAAAATACGGAAATCAATGTATGGATGAGAGCCTCTTCTCTCTGTTTCAAATCCTGCCCGACTTCTTACTCGTACATCTCCTAGAAATAGGGTCAAGAGTGAAATACACCATGTCGAAGTGCTACAGAAAAATTGCAACTGAATACAGTTGCAAGGTGTAGACGTTTCTGTATGCAGTGTTACAGTCATATAATGAATCTAATTCAATCCATGCCTTTTTAAGAGGCAATTTCAAAACAATCTGAGTATCTTTCAAACATGCAATTGCATGCTTATGCTTTTCATTAAATTCTTTTCTTCCTCATCATAAATAGCCAAATAAATAGTCAAATGAAAATATATATTCTAAACTACAGTACTACAATATTTTTAAAAGAAAACCGTAACTGAACAGTAGGAAGAGTTTACATTTACAATGTTTTACCATTCCAACTGTTACTACCAAGTTTACTTGTCTTTAATTATCTGTGTATTACGCAAGACCTTAATGAAAAACAAACTTAGCATTAATATGGAGATAAAAGCTTTATTTATTTTCCATTTCAACTAAAATAGTTACAATACAATAAAAGTATACTGTTACTACTTGAGAGTAACTGATCAAAAATAACCCTTTGTTTAAAGCAGATTAAATATGAAATTAAGGTTTAACTTAACTGGAGTCCTACCATTTTTTCCAATTGAAATAATTCTACAAAGACCAGTTAGAAAGTTTATGATCCAGATTAGAAACTATGCCCCTACGGTTTGATGTTAGATGAATTAACCTCTTGCCCATAAAATCCTTCCTTTCCTAACTTCCTCCTTCCTGACAAGTCATAGTTTGCTAGCAAGCCAAAATCTGAATAGTTTCCAACTCTGGCTAACCAAAAAATCAATACAAAGCAAATCCTCCTCCTGTCCCCCAAAATTTGTAACATTGCTGAAGATTCTTATTCAGATATGCTTTTATTCTGTGTTATGTGCTGCAACTATATATTTGATTTTACAGAAAATAATAAGCATACGATCAAGTTGAACTGGCATTTGCTGCAATCACAGCAACTGATTGCACACACTTTTGCATTCCATTAAACTGAGAAACAGAACTAAATCTAGACAGAAGCATGCCCTACAAACATTATAGTCAGATAACTGGTAATAAGCCATTACTACAAACTGCTAAAACACAGCTAGAATAGCAACAGCTAGAATCCAAAGGCCTGTGGATGTATAGGAGCTTTCCATTACCCCTCATTACTTCAGCCCACTGTGCTATCTCTCTCCTCTGCAAGACACTCCCACAGGAACGCTATTCAGCAGCACACCGGCCTTCCTTTCTTACAAGAATGGGATAGCTTGGATCCCAGACAAACTCTCCCCCGCCCCCCACATCAGAAAGTATTTACTTAGCTTAGCTTATGCTTTTGGAACATTTGCTCTGCTTTACATGTAGGACAAGGCAATAGACAAAATGATGCACATAAGTAGTGCTTTATATAGCTAGCTGTTACATCAGATTGATACAAACTAATCATTGTAAGCACCAACTGCAGAAACACAAAATGTTTCAGCACTTCAAGAAAAGTAACAATTTGAGGGCTCCAACAGTGGAATCCAACCTGGTCTGTGTTTTGGGAAATTCAAACAATACCAGGGCAACATGATGATTGAGCATCCTAATACTGTCATAAATGCATGATGCCAGTCTGTGCAATCCCTATTAACAAAGCTGAACTCCAGAGTGCTGAAGTGATCCTAAGCTGTTACAACAGTTGCATTCACACCTAATGGTTAGTATACAGGGCTAAGCACCCTGGAAGCCTGTAGATATTTTGGTCTACTACTCCCACAGTCCCTGTCCACTGGTCATGCTTGCTGGGATTTATAAAGTTGTCTGCATGCTACCCACTCCTGCAACATGGTTGCAAGGAAACTGGAAGTCTCTGTTTTAAATTAAGCACTATTTAGCTTATTGTTAAAAGCCTAAAATGTGGTTTAATTTTAACAATGCTTAGCTGAGACCTGTCAGTTTCCTAAAGTGTGGTTTGAAGTTTGCTCGTTTCCACTAATCATAATAAAGGCTCAATGACACACAAAAATACAAAGGAAGCAGCAGTTTCCAAACTCCTTCCATAGCCACACTAAAGGAGGAAGAGGAAAAGGAGGCAGTGGCAGGAGAAGTGTGAAAGGTCAAAAGGTGCTGTGGTTCGTTCATATACTTATAAAATGTGGCTTTGCACAGGATTCTGTAATCTTTTGGGGGCTATAGTCACTTTTGAAGTTTTGTGGTTGTGGTACTTTATGAAATGGCTGCCATGGGAGGCTTACCTATGTAAAAATTAGAAGCCATGGTGAGCATGCTCAGATAGACAGCATTGCTTTTCCAGAAAGCAAAACTATGAGACTGAAAGAAAAATAACTTGCTCTGGAACCTATATACATGACAGAGGTACTTTGAGCTCAAATGAAATCTTTATTTAGGATTTTGCCTTAAAGGCCTTTACCAGAGGGTGGAATTATTGCCATTCAATACACTACCACAGATGTCATGAAGTCCAGATACAGAGAGGTCACCCAAGTCTCCCTGAATACTCCAAAACAGCCTATGCTACTTATCCCAATTCTCATTTTACCATACATTATGTATGAACAAATCTTCTTCCCAGTAGCATCTTCTGAGCAGACTGCTGTGACTCGCTTCACTGAAGACTGACCACTATGAGTAGAAATAGGGCCTTTATAGTTGCTGGTCCAAAACACTTCCCTGGCTTTTTTTTAAAAAGTGCAAATAGAATATCCTTTTGGACTGATTTTAGGATTTGGTTCTGCTATTAATTTCAGCGTATACCGCCTCCCGGATTTAAAATCCCAAATATATAAGCATGACAATATTTAGACAAGTATTAGTTTTTATTTTGTCTTTTTAAATATGTATGATCCTATTTGTGTTTATTATTGTTGCTGAAGTTCTAAAAAGCAGCATATAACACATATTTCTGTGAAGAATTCAGAAACCCTAAGATTAAACAGTATGGCTTAGGCTCATAGCAGCTATACCTCTGGCTATTTGACTTAGATATTTCTACAAAGCATGGGTAGGCAACATGGTGTCTAAAGGTACCAATCTACCCCCAGATGCATTTTGTAGCACCCACTAGGGTACCTCCTCTATCTCTTATAAATAGATAATGCACATTTTTTTCTAGCAGCTTGGAAATAGGATTCTGTTGATTATGAGAAGCTGATTCAAATGAATTGCTTGGCCTACCTCTATGCCACCTCTATCTCGTACTCTGTCTATTTGACAATGACATGCCTTGCAATGGTATGCAACATAGTTCTGCAAATTGCCAAATGTGCTCATCACCCCAAAGCAGTTTGTCTATCACTGTTCTAAAGCACTGGGAATCTCTTAGACTACACTCAATTACAGTAGAGAAAAAATGCCCATTCCTTAGCAGCAGAGTTAACAATTACCTCCTTTGTAAGGAGAGGACATCTATTAGTAAATCTACTGAGGGAGGGAGCCTTTTCTCTTTGAGTATCTGTAGAGTAAACTGGGACAGGACTGTAGGGAGTTATTAGTCAAGCTAACTAACATCTAAAATATTTTTTTAAAGGGAACATCTTGGGTTTTAAGATGTATGTATAAATTTACTTCCTTAAACGAGGGATTCTGTTCAATGAAGTCATAACTGACTTGCTATTTATTATTCTATAAAACAAATAAGTAATACATTCTATTAATGGAATCTGCAAATTCAGGAAAATGCTCTAATAGATGTTAGCCAATTTCAATCAGAGCTTACATAGAGCTTGTTCTTACAATAATCACCCCTCAACTTATACTTGCGGTAAAATCAGAAGCATTCTTTCAAAATGGCTGAATAGAAGCTCCAAAAAAGGTACGCATGTCAGCATGAAAATTAGCCAGTGAAATACCAACAAAAGAAGGTAATAAACTTGTGCCCAAAGATCTATAAGTTTAAAAAACAGACTGCCCCATGTTTCAGTAAATGTGCTCCTAAGTGGTGCTCCTAAGTGCTGAGTAAAATTGATTTTATAGTAAAGCCATTCTATAAAAAAGACAGCTAGCACTCATTTAAAAAGTTAAGAGTTCAATGTGGTTAAAATGACAAGCATTATAAAACACGTATTTTATAATAGATCAATGCTTCAAAATGATATACGTGAAAAACATTCAATGTGTAAAATAGACTTTTGGCAAGCAGCAAGTTATAGTGTTCCAAAGACACATATCTTTTTTCTCCCTCTGTTCAAGATTTCTTTTTGAAGGGATTCTATGTCAAGGACAGGACATTTTGAAGAGCATCCTTTCATAGAATAATCATAAGTGAACAGAACTGCCTAGCAACCATAAGGGAAGAGAACTGCCTAGCAACAGTGCCACATGCACTGGTTACCTCCCGCTTGGACTACTGTAACGTCCTCTATGTGGGACTGCCCTTGAAGATGGTCCAGATACTTCAGATGGTGCAAAATAGAGCTGCTGTTGGGGACTGGTCGTTATTCTCACATAACTCCAGTCCTCTATCAGCTCCATTGGCTTCCCACTGAAGTCTGGACTCAATTTAAGATGCTGGTTATTACCTATAAAGCCCTAAATGGCTTGGGACCTGGATACCTAAAGGAACGTCTTTTTCCCTATATGCCCTCCTGCTCCTTAAGATCAGCAGCAGAGGCCCTCCTCCAGGAACCCTCTTTGAAAAAGGTCAGGAGACAGAGCACTCGGAGGAGAGCTTTCTCTGCGGTGGCACCCCAACGATGGAATGCACTCCCTAGAGAGGTCCGCCTGGTGCTGTCATTATATGTCTCAACACGTCAGTGGCCTGACCCATGAACGTGGACACACTCTGGACCTGGTTTTCTTGACAGGGCAGGAAGAGGGTGATCTGAGGGTGAGGAATTTATGTTTGACGTCCTTGTCATGGTCAGATCACTTCCTCATGAGGTTTGAGTTCGAGAGCAGCCTTTCCCTCTGTAAGGGTGCGGACCTGATTATGCTGGTCCGCCCCTGGAGTCGGATGGATCCTGATGGATTCCTGAAGGCTCTGGGGGATTTTCCAGTTGATAAGGCTGGTGCTCTTGTCGAGGCCTTGGTTGAACTATGGAATGGGAAGATGACCAGGGCTATTGACATGAGCGCTCCTAAGCGTACTCTCCCACCTGGCAGAGCCCGTTCTTCTCCTTGGTACACTCCTGAATTATGGGCGATGAAGCGGGTTGAGAGATGTCTAGAGCATAGGTGGAGGAGATCACGGGATGAATCTGACCGAACACACTTAAGAGCCCACTATCGGGCCTATGCTGTGGCGGTGAGGGCGGTGAAGAAGAAATTCTTCTCCACTTCCATTGCCTCCTCATGCCGTCCGGCGGAGCTCTTTCAGGTGGTGCAGGGGCTGGTAAACCCAGGCCCAAAGAAAGATCTGATGCCACCCTCGAAGGCCCACTGTGATGACTTCGCCAAGCATTTGAGGGAGAAAATCGCTCAGATTCGTCACGAGCTGGACTCTACTATTGAATCAGATCCTATTGGGGAGGTGCCAAAGAAGCCGTTGAGTCCTCAACTGATGGATGAATTTCAGTTGTTGTGGTCTGACGATGTGGACAAGGTGCTCGGACAAGTACGTCCTACCATCTGCTTACTAGACCCTTGCCCATCTTGGCTACTCAAAAATGCCAAGGATGGGATTGTGACCTGGATCCTGGAGGTGGTCAACGCCTCTTTAAGAGATGGCCAGGTACCTGCCCCTTTAAAGGAGGCGGTAGTCCGGCCAGTTCTAAAGAAGGCATCCCTGGATCCAGAGGTGGTCGCCAATTATAGACCGGTGGCCAACATCCCCTTCTTGGGCAAGGTGCTAGAGCGGGTGGTGGCGGGACAACTCCAGGCACTCTTGGATGAAACTGATTATCTGGACCCATTTCAGTCCAGCTTCAGACCCGGATACGGTACTGAATCTGCCTTGGTTGCCCTGTACGATGACCTGTGCAGGGAGAAAGACAGGGGGAGTGCATCCCTGTTGGTCCTCCTGGACCTTTCAGCAGCTTTCGATACCATTGACCATAGTATCCTTCTGGATAGGCTAGCAGGATTGCGGTGGTTCCGCTCCTATCTCAATGGCTGATTCCAGAAGGTAGTGTTGGGGGACTATGGCTCTGCACCATGGCAGCTATGCCATGGAGTACTGCAGGGATCCATTTTGTCCCCATTGCTATTTATCGTCTACATGAAACCGCTGGGAGAGGTCATCAGGAGGTGTGGGCTGCAGAATCATCAGTATGCTGATGATACCCAGCTCTACCTCTCATTTTCAACGAATCCAGGTGAGGCAGTGGCTGTGCTGAACTGGTGCCTGGCCAAGGTAGTGGGCTGGATGAGGGCCAATAAACTGAAGCTCAATCCAGACAAGACGGAGGTCCTGTTGGTGGGTGGCTCGGGCTTTGGGGTGGGGGACTTGGGCCTTGTCCTAAATGGGGTTGCACTCCCTCTGAGGGACAGGGTTCACAGCTTGGGAGCACTCCTCGACCCTGAGCTGTCACTGGAAGCTCAGGTGGCGGCGGTGGTGGGGAGCGCCTTCCTTCAGCTTCAGCTGATCCATCAGCTGCGTCCCTATCTGGAGAACGATTGCCTGGCGACGGTGACCCATACTTTGGTTATTTCCCAACTAGACTTCTGTAACGCGCTCTACGTGGGGCTACCCTTGAAGATGATCCGGATACTTCAATTGGTGCAAAATAGAGCTGACAGGTTGCTGACTGGGACTGGGCGTTGTTCTCATATAACCCCAGTTCTCCATCAGCTTCACTGGCTCCCTATTGAAGTCTGGGTCCAATTCAAGGTGTTGGTTATGACCTATAAAGCCCTTAACGGCTTGGGACCTGGTTACCTAAAGGAACGTCTGCGTCCATATATGCCCTCCCACCCCTACGATCAGCAGCAGATGCCCTTCTCCAGGAACCCTCCGTGAATGATATTACCCGAGTACCCGGAGGAGGGCCTTCTCTGCGGTGGCGCCCCACCTATGCAATGTGCTCCCCAGAGAGGTCCGCCTGGCGTCATCAGTATTTGCTTTTCGGTGCCAGGTGAAGAACTTTTTATTTAAAAGTTATTTTAACTGTTAATTTATTATTATTGTATTTATAGATTTTAATATATATAGCCGAAATGGTACCAGTTTTTAAATTATTGTTTATGAATGTTGTGAGCTGCCCTGAGGCTTTGTTGCGATGGGGCGGCATAGAAATGTTTTAAATAAATAAATAAATAAATAAATAAGCTTTTTGGCGCCAGGTCACCTTTTTATTTGACCAATATTTTAATGTCAATTGATTTTAATTGTGTGTGTGTTTGTGTGTGTGTATTATATATATATATATATATATATATATATATATATATATATATAAATTTAACAATGTTATTTTTATATTCAGTCATGGTATACCCAATTAATTTTGTTTAGGACTTATATTATATTGTAAGCCGTCCAGAGATGACAGTGATGGACAGTCTATAAATGCCCTAAATAAATAAATAAGGCAGACATGAATTGATGGCATGTTAACAACAACAAGTTAGATTGATATTAAGACAATTATGTGTTACATAACCTTAGTTCCTAATTCTATGTACTTTGGATTCTTGGAGTTTTTATAAGCATTATCCATAAAACAGCATTTATTCAATAAAAAATATATATCAAAATATGCTGGGCAGTATATTTGGACCAACAGCATTACCATCATTTTCAGACTGACCTCTCAGAATGTTTCCATCTGCCAACAGAATGGCAATCGCTTACCAAAAAGGTTCCTCATCTTCTTCCACTACAGCCTCCAATTTCTTCTGGAAGGATGGGAAAGCCTCCAAACCATATTCGGGGTATGAGAATACAGTAAGGAGTAAGGAATACAGTAAGGAAAAGGTCACCCCACAGTCAATCTGTTACATTCTACATGTACTCGGAATGGAGCAGAAGAGCCAGGCTAGCCCAAGGCTAGCCTGGTATGACATGGTTTCATTCTCCTACCTACTACCATCATGCTGATATATTATATGACTTTAAGTAGATACACTATAATCTTTATATTTTAAAGGCATAAAAGATAGCAAATGCTTGTTAATGTCCTGTTAAACTATACTATCAATTCATAACATTCATATGCAGATTGCAATTTAACAGTATATTCCACAACTACTGAATTTTATACAGGATTCTCAAAAAGAGACCTAGGATTTCTTCCCCAATCTCATTTGGTAATTAAATATACATTCTATCAAGCAAAATATTAAAACTATAGTCATACAATTTACTGTCCAAATTTACAGATTCAAATGCATGGCAGGGCACAAAAGTCCTGAATGTTAGCATTCTTACAATAAGCCTAAGTCAAAGTTTATGCTTCAGTTACAAAGAGCCTCTGAAAAAGACTATTACACACAACTGAAAACTATGTGTGATCTACCTAGAAGTTAGTGTGGCTTCTGGCCACTGAGTCTGGCTTTAATGCAGGTGGCCACTGAATGGGCAATGCCAAAGGGCGTCATGCCTTTGGGTTATAGCTTGAAGAAGGAAGCAATGGTCAAGAGTCAGATCTTTAAATTTAAAAAAAATAAATAAGGAGCCTGTTAAGTAAAGTTGATATATATGATCTGTGAGTTAATGCTATATACTGAGTTAGTTACTACATTATCTCCCTTAGTTATTAGGTAGCTGTGTTTTGTTCTCCCTGAGCAATATTGTTGCTCCCTATGCAAGTATAACCATTGCAGCTTTTGTTATGAGTAAAGGGAAGAGAGGATTAAGTGCTCTGGAAGGTAAGAAGGCAACACTGAATTGATAGAGGACAGATGGTTTTATGATGGTGATGGAGAGCACAGAAGAAATGTTAGGAAAAGCAAGTGAGATATTATTATTATATAACTGTTTGTTGTTCACCATATAACTGAAGTTTTCAGGGTGGCATACATGTTAAAACACTATAATAAAAACCAGTAACATTACTCAAACACACACATTTGAAAGCAGCAAGAAAACAATGTATCAAAGCAGAATAGCAAAACTGCACAAAGGGGGATTTTAAAAAAACTTATTTTTTGAAGTATTTAAAAGGCTTTGCTTTGATTGGCTAAATCTCTCTAGGAAGGATCTCTCCAGGGACTACTTGCCACTAAGAAAAGGACTACTCATAAGTAACTAGAGCTTAATATGCAGAAGCACTCAGCCAATGCAAAGAAGAAAAAGAGAGGAAAAATGGAGGGAAGAACCAGTTTCTAGTCTACCTCACAAGGATCTTGGTTTTTTATGTAACACTGGATACGTTGGAACAACTATCAATGCAATTTTGAGTTATGCTATTGTTTTTAGAATAATGAATAAAATGTTTAAGAGAAGATGTTGATACAGTATAACCTGGCCTTTATTCCACCAAAATGGTTTCTATGGAATAGGAAGTGTGAAATTTCTGGAAATTTTGAAGCCATGGGATTAAATGTTTTACTCATCTCTGATCATTGTTACTTCTTCCATTCCTTATTAAAATTATGGATCTAAAGTCTAATTTTCAATTATGCTGCACATAAATCTTCCTCCAGCTCTTTCCCACTTTTTCTGGCTTCTAGAATGACTCAAACGTTTCAGAGGCTATGCTAAAGTTCCTTCTGATAACACATAAAACAGGAACCAAAATAATGTAGCATGTATAACTTGCTTTACTCATAACAAATAACTAAACCAATTTTACTGAAAACTCAGTGGATTTATAATTGTATACATTTAAATTTAATAATTTTGACATGATAATATCTAAATGAAATAACTTTAGATATGGAAAAAGCACTAAAAGCTTATTTTCCCATTTTCTCAAAATGTCCATTTTTCCTGGAGGAAAAAAAACATTTTCTTCCATGGCTTCAAGATTTCCATCTCTCAGATCATTACCTATTCCTATTACATATGCAAATAGGCAGCCCTTTTAGATACGATGGCCCCAAACCATGAAAGTCAACAGCTGCACACTTTGTCCTCTCTAACTTTGGGAATTCTAGTAGCTGTCCTGCAAACTTCATAGGTCTGAAGGTTCTGCTGCTGAGTACCAGTTCACTTAACAGAAGGTGTTTTTTGGCTTCATCCATGATGCACACACCCTTCACTGCCTGTATAACAGATTGGGAGAAATCCATGTCACTCGTCTCATCCAGACATGTTTACTTGGCAGAACCAATCAATTGTAAGCCACCCCGAGGCTCATGAGATGGGGCGGCAGATAAGTTGTTTAAATGAATGAATGAATGAATGAATGAATTGGGGGTCAAAGAGGGGCACCTTGGTTACAAAGGCCAAGAACGTTGTTCCCTGAGTAAATAAATAAATAAATAAATTGGGGGTCAAAGAGGGGCACCTTGGTTACAAAGACCAAGTACGTTGTTCCCTGAGTTCTACCAGTTTTCAGTGCCCATGCCTGTTGTTGGGCTCCCAAGAAAGGCTGGGAATTCTGTTGCTGTACTGTACACACTAATGTTCAACAGTCTCCCAGCCTAGGCTACCACATGCATTGTTGGATTTCAACACCTACACCAAGACCAACATGCTGGAGCAACTCAGGACTTCAGAGTTACCAACAGCTTATTACAAATAATAATGAGCCCCAATAAATGTGACGGGTCATATCTGGTCCCGGTATTTTATTCAGGTGAGGGTCTGTGGGAAAGGGAGCCAGAAATTTTTTCCTTTATCATGGACTTTAACATTACCTGATCAGGCAAGATCACTGAGCTGCCTAGAGCCAATGCAAGGATTATAGGAAACTTCAGTCGCCCAACCCTAGAGAGATGGATCAGGAAGGCTTTCTGACATCCATTAGGGAATTTCCTGCAGTCTTAGCCAGTGGTCCTCCTGGGATCCCAGAATAAAGAAACATCCTCATCCGAAACACAGTCAATTCAGCTGAAAACTTGTGGTTAACAAGGTGATTGGGTCAACAACTAGAGTACAGATCGTGGAAGTCTTACTGTTAGCATGACTAAATGCAGGTAAGGACAAATCTTCAGACTTACTCTGTATTTGTAAAGGTGGTGAGAATATTCTACTTCTCTGTCATCATTACATCTGCACAATGCCAGCCAGCTTTAACAGGAATTCTGGGGAGGAGCTGGAGCCCATGAAGGTTTATTATGATCAATTTGAAATGCATTTTGCAGGTAGAATTGCTTGAATGCCAGCTAAACTAGATGCCATAATTATAATCCGAGAAGGAGGAGACCCTCAGGTGGCAGAAATGCTTATCTATTTGTTTGTTTAAAGTTTTATAGACTGGCCTATAGCTAACACTCTTGGAATGATTTACAGCATAAAACATAGTAACGTCCCCATAATAACTATTACAAATAAAAATAATGACAATTAGCAAAAAGAATAACATAACAATACACAACACAATAGACACTAATCCACAGAAACCAATTAATCATCATCTGAATAAAAACCAATATAAAATCATAAGCATATATTCAACAATTAAAGTAACAGGAGAATAAAATGTTTTTGACTGGCACTGAAAAGTATACAGTGTTGGCACAACGCCCTGGGGAGTTGGTTCCATAAATGGGGCACCACAACCAAGACGGCCCTTCCCGTCATAGCTACCTTCCTTACTTCTTTTAGCAGTAGCTCATGGAAAAGGAATCTTAGAATTCAGGTAGGTGTATAAAAGAGGTGGCATTCCTTTAGATATCCTGGTCCTAAGCCATTTATTTATTTATTTATTTGTTTATTTAAAACATTTCTATGCCGCCCCATTCGCCGAAGCCTCGGGGCGGCTCACAACATAAATTAAAATATAATACATTAAAAGTATAAAACAAATTAACAATATAAAATAAGAGGTGTATACATCAATGTGAGCACCCTGAACCGAGCCCAGACTTCAATTGGTAACCAATGCAGTACATAAAGGAAAGGGCTTATTTGTTCATACCCAGCCCATCCCAATTATCAGACAGACTGCCCTATTCTTTACCAACTAAAGTTTCCAAACTGTTTTCAAGGGCAGCCCCATGTAAAGTGCTTTACAGTAGTCAAAACATGAAGTTATCAGTGCATAGATTACCATTGCTAGGTTCTGTCCATCTAGATAGGGATGCAGCTGACATATCAGCCACAATTGATAAAAGGTGCTCCTGGCCATACATGCTACCTGGTGTTTCAGGAACGACACTGGGTCCAAGAGTACCTCCAAGTTCCACACTCTGTCCTTTAAGGGGAGCATAACCCCATCCAGGATAAGGCAGATATCCTCCTGCCAGACTGAGGTTCCACCTACCAATAACACCTCCATCTTGCCTGGATTAAGATAAGCAATTTATTAGCCCACATATAGTCCATCAGCCTGCTCTGACACTAGTTCAGAGATGACCCTGCCTCACCTGGATAAGATGTAAACAAGAGGTAAAGCTGAGTATCATTAGCGTACTGATGACACTTCAGCCCAAAACTCTGGATGACCTCTCCCAGCAGTTTCATGTAGATATTAAACAGCATGGGAGATAGGATGAAATCCCGGGACAATGACATAACTACCATGGGTCAAGGTGCTATCCCCAGCAGCACCATCTGGAATAGGCCAGCCAGGTAGAACTGGAACCACTGCAAAGCAGTGCCTCCAACTCCCAACTCAGCCAGCCTATCCAGAAGCATACCATGGACAATGGTCTCAAAAGCTGCTGAAAGGTCCAGGAGAACCAACATGGACACACTTCCCTGTCTTTCTCCCAACAAAGTCCATCCCATAAGATGATCAAGGCAGTTTCTGTCCCAAAACCAGGCCTGAAACAAAACTGAAATAGATCCAGATGGTCTGTTTCCTCCAATAGAGCCTGGAGCTATCTAGGGGTATGTTGGCCGCAGGCCTATAATCATTAACATCTTCTGGATCCAGGTATGCCTTCTTCAAGAGGAACCTAATCACTGTTTTAACAGAGTTAAGGCCAGCCCCTTCTTCAGAGAGGCATTCATAATTGCCTGGACCCAGGAGCACATTCCGTCCTTGACTTCAATCATGAGGGGCAAGGGTCAAGGATACAGTTGGTGAGCGAGACTTGTACAAGCACTTTGTCCACATAATCAGTCCTCAATAATTGAAACTTATCCAATGAAACAGGACTGAGATGGGTCTCTGGACTCCTCCATTACAGGGACTACATCTAACATGAAGTCCAATTTTTGCTGGATCTGAGTGACTGAATCTGAGTGCTGTGCAAACTCATCACAGCAGGCCACCAAGGGTTCTCCATGATCCTCATTACAGCCTATACATAAAAGGCCACTTGAAACAGTTCCACTAGACAGCACCAAAAGGATGTGATGCTGGTGGAGAAGAAAGCTCTCTTCTCCATTTTCACTACCACAGAGTAGGCTCAACAGTAAGCTCTCACCAGTGTTTGATCAGATTCAGCCCCGGTTTTTCTCCACCTACACTCTAGCCATCATCCCAATTGCTTCATTGCTCACAATTCTGCTGTATTCTGCATGGGCTCTGAGCATGGGAAGAGGGCTGCTTAGGTGCCAAATGGTAAGTTTCATAAAGCACTCTGGACTTCGACCGCAGCGCCAACTATATCAGCCAGAAAATCCCCACAACCCTCTGGAAACCTGGATCCATCAGCCCCTGGGGATGGAGCATTCTAATGAGTGAAGAGAAAGAGCAGTCCTAAGTCTCAATCTCATGAGGAAGTGATTTGACCCCCATTTCCAGATTACCATCTTCTTGCCCTGTCGAAAAAAGCAGGTCAAGAGTCATTGGTCCTTTTTCATGTGTTGGGCCAATGACATGTTGAGACAGCCCCACAGTTGTCATGGCAGCCATGAAGTCCTGAGGCTACCTGGTGTTAGCTCAGGGCCATCTGTCAAAAACAGCCCTATCTAAAGGCTAGACCTAACATCAATTTATTCATGCTCTAGTTATTTTCAAATTGGAATACCATAATGCATTTTATGTGAAACTGCTTTTAAATTCAGTTCGGAAGTTTCAAATAGTAATAAATAAAGAGCAAATTTTTGTTTTTACTACCTCTTAAAAAAAAAAAACCAGGAGACCAACAGATTAACCAACACATTGACATCCATCTCAACAGAGAATGAACAGAAAGTCCAGTAACTGTACAGCAGCCACTGTTGAATCTCGCCTATCAGGAATCCAGTGAAAATGCTATGGCAGGACAGTCTAACTTTTTGTACCTTGAGGGCTTCATGAGGACTTCGGCACAGAAGCTGGGGGCTGTATAATGAATTACTTTTCTATATCATAAGTTAAAGTGTTTGCAGTATATTGATTTTATTTAATATACACAATATTTTTAATTAACCATTAAATGAGAAAAATTAATTTTAAGATATTTTAGTACTAATTGAATGAAAAAGAACACATTGAGGGCCTTTCTTCCCTGTTTCTCCCACCCAGAAACCCTCCCATGTGATCCCCCTATCCCCTTCTTTCTTGGAATTAGCGCATTGAGCCTCTTGTATTTGAACCAATGAACTCTCCCCAACATGCTCCATTTGTTCCTGCTATTGAGCGCAAAGGCACTCCGCTCCTGAGGCTCAAGAAACAAGTGAACTGGGCTGGCAGCCTCAGGAGAGCTCCCCACAATCATTCCCATGCCATCACTGGAATCCAGACTGAGGGGACAGAGGGGCTCCAAGTGGCAAGAGGGCCAGAGAATAAGGCCTTGGGGGCCACATGTGGCCTGCAGGTTACATGTTAGACACCCCCCCATAGGATGTAGTTAGATATGAATGTGAATGAAAAAGACAGATATGTGGACACAGACAAAACAACATAAATATGAATACGAGAATAACTGTGTATGCAGTAGAAAGGAAAACAAGGATATACATATGGCTTGGACTAATTCCTTCATTCTTTGTCATTTTAAAAGCAGCAACTACCTCCCATTTCCTATACACACAACAGGACTGTAGTTCTTAGTCTGGGATGGTCAGAGACTGGAGTAGGATGCACAGATGGTGAATGCAAGCTTTACAAACAGACTATCAATCACATATTATTGTTGAAAGACAGTCAACAATTCAGTACTAAAACTGAGGATTGCTTCAGGATCAATAGTCTCAAAGGCAAAAGTCTATCAACATGTCTCTGCCTACACAGAGGAGCCAAAAGCATATGTAAAGATTATAATTTTGTGGATACAGAACACTGATTATCTATGCTGCTGGATTCCTCTCTTATATTCATAGAAGCAATCTCAATTATTTACACTAAAACTCCTCCCAGTCATCTTTTCCTATATGTTGCAGTCACACTATTACATGAACACTAGCAATGATAATATTTAGTTTCTAACTTAAGCTAAAACTTCCCTACACAAACATTTGCTCATGCAAGCCACGCAAACATAGCTTTAAACAAAACAAATTCTTAATCTCACAAACACCAAGAATCTGCTATAAACATAGTGCATTTGAAATAAGAAACACAGCTACAAAAGCTAACCTTTAAAGCAAGCAAAAACCACTAAAAGCTCAAGTATTTCAGCCTTTATTCATATTTCACATTTTATGTATTTTAGTATACATTTATACTATTATCTCTAATGTTCTCCCACACCACTCCGTCTTTTCCCATTTAGATGTGCGCTACTGGGAAAACTAATCTCCTATTTTCTGACTATCATCTCTTTACTTGTTTAGTACTTGACTCTATATGAAATTTGTGCTTGGCAAATTAGATTAGAGACAAACCAACGATCAGCAAAAGTCATTGAAAGAGGTAGAAAAGGGACAAGCAAAAATGGAAAATTTGTTAGAATATTTTAAGTTCCACACACAGAGATTTGGGTGTTTTAACAAGTGACTATACTTACCTAGCATGCGAATGTACAACGCAGTTTGATCAGAACTGTCATAGGAAATTGCCCCACGTCTCTGAAAATAAAAAACAGAACATTATATTCCTGCTTTTTAAATTTCTCATTTTACCAAACGGACACTGCCTCTATCATAAATAATCTGTTCTTATAAGGAAGATTTTCTCTAAAATGTCTGAACTTTATCTTCATATGGGCACATACAAGGAGATATATTGTCAGTTTTGCCAAAACATAGAAACCTTTTCATTTATGTTCTCAGATCATTCAAAGTCTGGTAAGAAACTCAGGGTTAGAACACATACAACAAAGCTAATCTTAACCATGTTTAAAGAAATAGATCACTGAATGGCACACTTCCTCCCACTCTTCCAAATTAACCATAGTTTAAGGTTATATCAATACCTATATTAAAGTAGATGGAGGGTCAGCTTATTTTGGACAGCAACAAACTCCCCTTGATGAATCAAGGTTCTAATCTGTGGTTCTCTGTGATCTGTTCCTACATAAAAGTTAAAGTGGCAGCAGTAACAAAGCATTTACCTGCTACAGCTGGTATACCAAAGTAGTCAAACTTGGTCATAGTTATCCATGGTAGATGCTTCAAGCATGTTATTATAGCATTATTTGAGCTACACTGATTGCTTGTATGTCCAGGATCAATTCCAGCTGCTGGCTATTACTTATAAACCCTAAAGGAGTTGAGATCTGGTTCTCTGCAGAATTACCTTCTTCCATATACACACCTTCATTAATTCAGTGCCACA